AGAGGCCTCTGTTCTGTGTATCCGTGAAGGGTTGCTTACTTTGGATGTTTTCAGCTAACTCCACACTCTGCTGTTCACACCCCTGTTATTTTGAGCCAACTCCAAGTATGTCAGGCCCTCTAGCCATTCATAATTTCTTGTGCTGTGACCTCCATACTGTTTTTTTTTTTTTTTCTGTGCTTATTTCTTTAGTAGTTTTTATTTCTTTATGAGTTAGGATCCTATATGAAGCAAAACAATGTCAAACCACATTCAAACTGATAGATTCATACAATAGAGGCAACTTACTGACTGATATAGCTGGAAAGTCCAGCTTTGGGTCAGGCTTCGGGGTTAACTGATCTCAGGGCTCAATGATGTCATTAAATATTTGATTTCCTTCCTTTATTTTGTCATTCACAGTACTTATCTAATCATGAATGAGATTCCACTCTGTCTCAAGGATGGCTGCCAGCTGCAATCAGAACACAGTTCCAGTCAGTGGGAATGAGACCACTTTCCCTCACAGCATTTCCAGTGAGAGTTCTGGGGTTAGCAGCAGCCACCTTCAAAGAACGTGGATCCTGTTGAGGGTGTGTGTGGCTGTTGGGAGGAAAATGTATTTGATTAGATGGGGAAGAGGTGAATGGCTAGACAGCCTGTGGGTAACTGACCATTGACTACACTCTAGATTTCTGTTATTTCTGGAAATTTTTCCCGTGCTAAATAAAAACTCCACTTTTTCATACCCTGCCCTAGGTCTGGTCTTGTCTTCCTGAGCATACTAAAATCCACACAACCATGAAAATATTTCTTCTGTGTCCCTTTTCTTCCATGCCATACCCACAATATAAGGAGGAAAGATCAGCTTCTTCCTTGTCCTGCTGATACCACCTCTACCTGCAGTGATGCTCCCAAATATGTCTCCACCATTATGTGAAACACCTTTAGGTTTACAGTGTGGTTTTGCCATTCTTCATCCTGCTCACTGTGTCAGAGTCTCCCCACTACCTGGTTGGTCCCCTCCGTTCGTCAAAGACTCTGATTCCTGGTTCAGCCTTCCTTCCTACTCCCAGGCACTAAACATCAAGCTGCTGACTCCTGTGCTCACATAGACAATTTATCCAAACTAGATTCTGAGTTCTTAGTAGTTTTCAACTCATTTGTGTCAACTGTGAACTTGCAGGAGAGTAACCTAAATCTGCTGCATGTGCAGATCCGGTTTTCCCAGCACCATTTGTTGAAGAGACTGTCCTTGCTCCAGGGATTGATTTTAGCTCCTTTGTCAAAGATGAGTTGATTGTAGGTGCCTAGGTTGATTGCTGGTGTTTCTATTCCGCTCCATTAGTCTACCTCTCTGTTTTTGTACCAGTATCAGGCTGTTTTGATTTAACTGCCCTGTATTATGTCTTGAAATCTGGTATTGTGATGCCTCTGGCTTTGTTTTTGTTGTATAAGATTGCTTTAGCTATTTGGGGTCTCCTGTGTTTCCATATGAATTTCAGCATCAAATTTTCTATATCTGAGAAGAATGTCCTTGGTATTTTGATTGGTATTGCATTGAATCTGTAAATTGCTTTTGGTAGAATGGCCATTTTGATGATATTGATTCTTCCAACCCATGAACGTGGAAGATTTTTCCATTTTTTAAATTTCTTTCTTCAATATTTTGTAATTCTCCTTGTAGAGATCTTTGGTGTACTTGGTTAAATTTATTCCAAGGTATTTCATATTTTACAGTTATTATGAATGGGATTGATCTTAGAAGTTCTTTCTCAGCTGTGGCATTGTCTGTGTATACAAAGAGAGAATTGCTCCTTTTCCAGTCCAGCTCTCTGCTTATGCACCTGGGAAAGCAGTGAAAGATGGCCCCAAAGTTTGGGCCCCTGCACCAATATGGGAGACCCAGAAGCTCTGGGCTCCTGACCTCAACCTGGCACAGCCTTGGCCATTGTGGCCATTTGGGGAGTGAATCGCGGATGGAAGATCTCTCTCTCTCTCTCTCTCTCTCTCTCTCTCTCCTCCTCCTCCTCCTCCTCCTCCTCCTCCTCCTCCTCCTCCTTCTCTTTCTCTTTCTCTTTCTCTTTCTCTTTCTCTTTCTCTTTCTCTTTCTCTTTCTCTTTCTCTTTCTCTGTGTTTCTCCCTCTCTCTGTGTAACTCTGCCTTTCGAATAAATGTTTTAAAAATTAAATCATTAAGGGGCCAGCTGTATGGCGTTGCGGGTAAAGCCACCATCTGCAGTACTGGCATCCCATATGGGCTCCATCTCGAGTCCCGGCTGCTCCACTTCCAATCTACCTCTCTCCTATGGCCTGGGAAAGCAGTGAAGGATGACCCAAGTTACTGCAGTTGATTTCTCAACAATGTTGCAGTGGATTGGTTTCTGAGAGGAGGAGCGTGGTGGGGGCAAGAGGCGTGGATTCACCACACAGACCCCGGGAGTCGGGTGAAAGTAGGCTTGAGGCAAGCAGCCCAGAGACTTGTTTATTTCAGTTAGTACAACAGCTTATATAGCTAAGACCAGCCAATCCGGTCAAGGGGCAGTCTGTGCCCCAACCAATCACAGCCTGTTGCCAGGCAGTTTCCAAAGCCATCCAATCACAGCCTGTTGCTAGGCAGGCTCTGTTTGCCATGTGGGTTTCAAAGCCATCCAATCACAGCCTGTTGCCAGGCAGGCTCCGTTGCCATGTGGGTTTCAAAGCCAAGCCTGAGTGACGCTCACTTGCCAGTGGCCATCTTGGCATGGCCTTCTCATTCCACCACATTTCCCTCTTTTCATTTATTTTTAAGCAACGGGAGGCATGCTTCTTGGCCATACCATTGTTGACCCCATTTCTGTGTGGTCTCTGTACGCAGCTTTGCCTGTCTTAGGTTGTCCCCCAGGGGATCTTACCTGTCATTGACTAACCAGCGCTCAAATTGAGAGACCACAGGATTGCTTGCTCAGATAGGGGGAGGAATGAGGAATAATGGTAATCAGGAATGACTTTGAAACCCACCTGGCAATGGAGCCTGCCTGGCAACAGGCTGTGATTGGATGGCTTTGAATCCCACCTGGCAATGGAGCCTGCCTGGCAACAGGCTGTGATTGGATGGCTTTGGAAACTGCCTGGCAACAGGCTGTGATTGGTTGGGGCACAGACCGCCCCTTGACCGGATTGGCTGGTCTTGGCTATATAAGATGTTGTACCCAACTCCCGGGGTCTATGTGGTGACTCCGCGCCTCTTGCCCCCACCACACTCCTCCTCTCAGAAACCAATCCACTGCAACATTGTTGAGAAACCAACTGCGACACAAGTCCTTGGTTCCCTGCACCTCTTTGGGAAGAACAGGAAGAAGCTCCTGGCTCCTGGCTTCGCATCAGCGCAGCTCTGGCCATTGCCACCAATTGGGGAGTGAACCAGTGGATGGAAGACCTGTGTCTCTCTCTGTGTCTCTCTCTGCCTCTCCTTCTCTCTCTGTGTGATTCTGACTTTCAAATAAATAAATAAATCTTCTTTTAAAAAATAAATCTTTAGAAAAAATAAAAAGTGTGTGTTTTAGATGCATAACTAACTCTGATCACACAACTAGTTGTGCGACTTTGAACAAGCTACTTATCTATTTTTTTTTAGTTTAGTCTTTTTTTTTTTAAGATTTTATTTATTTATTTCAGAGGTAGAGTTACAGAGAGAGATAGAGAGAAGGGTCTTCCACCCAATGGTTCATTCCCCAAAGGGCCACAACCGGCGGGATCTGGGCCCATCCAAAGCCAGGAGCTTCTTCTGGGTCTCCCGTGCAGGTGCAGGGATCCAGGCACTTGGGCCATCTTCCACTGCTTTCAGGCCATAAGCAGAGAGATGAATTGGAAGAGGAGCAACCTGGACACAAACTGGTGCTTATATGGGATCCCGGTGCCTCCGGCAGAGGCTTAGTCTACTACTCCAAAGCTCTGGCTCCTTAGTTTAATCTTTTTGTTTTTTTAAAGATTTTATTTATTTATTTGACAGGTAGAGTTACAGACAGTGAGAGAGAGAAAGGTCTTCCTTACGTTGGTTCACTCCTCAAATGCCGCAACGGCCAGAACTACGTCGATCCAAAGCCAGGAGCCAGGTGCTTCTCTCTGGTCTCCCATGTGGGTGCAGGGGCCCAAGGACGTGGACCATCTTCTACTGCTTTCCCAGGCCACAGCAGAGAGCTGGACTGGAAGAGGAGCAACTGGGACTAGAACCGGCACCCAGATGGGATTCTGGCGCCAGCCGTGGAGGATTAACCTAGAGCACCCCGGCGCCATCCCCAGTTTAATCTTTTATCAAACAAGAATATCCACACTATGTAACTCATAGATTTTTGGAGAATAGAGTTATCACATGGAATGCATTGTGCACAGTACCCAAACACACAATAAATATTAGCTATTAAATATAACATTTTAATTTATAAGCTCTAAAGTTACACAAACACAAAACAGCAGTATTATTATTTTGAACATTTTAAGGGATACAGGATTAGTATAATAATTCATTTTTCTTTAAGGATTATGCCACAGCTGTATCAGAGTTTATTTTCCAAGTCTCCAGTTAAAATTATCATTCTTGATTTATGTGAACTTTTATTTTAAAAAATTGCTGTTAAGTGTCGAAAGAGAATTTTGAAAATGTTTCCTCACTAAACCTACAAAATTTTTTGAGACTATATACCTACTAGGTGGAAAAATTTTAAAATAGGAGATATTTCTGGTTTAATTCATAAAGGACAATTATTGTGCCTCCAACACCTAAGTATGTTTCTATATGATATAATTATAAACAATTCTGTATTTGAAAAGTATAAATTTCATCAAAGCTCTGACCATGCTGCAACTATAGAAAATACTTCTACAAGGGCATTTAGTTTTATGCATATGTGTTTGCCTGCAAGAATTGCTGTTATTTTTGTTTTCAAAAAGCTCTTTTTAATTTAAGTTTATAGTACATGTTTGTGTCTTTTCTTTGAACCAATGGAAATCGCTAATTTTTACTCCTTTTCTGATTGTTTCTAGGGTTGGTGGTTCCAGGATTCTATTCAAAATGACATTAGGAAGAGAAGTGATGTCACCTCTTCAGGCAGTTTCTTCCTATACTGCAGCTGGCAGGAATGTTTTAAGATGGGATCTTTCACCAGAGCAAATCAAGACAAGAACTGAGGAGCTCATTGCGCAGACCAAGCAGGTGTACGATTCTGTTGGAATGCTGGATATCAAGGACGTGACTTACGAGAACTGCTTGCAGGCGCTGGCAGATGTGGAAGTGAAGTACATAGGTGGGTAGGTTGCAGAAGCACATCGCTCTTTCATTTTGTTGACTTTAAAACCATCATACACTTTCTGTTTTGACAAATTCCCAAGAGATTAATTTTTACATAATGGCTAATTTGTGGCTTAGAATTAAATTACCTAAGATTATAAATTTTATTATGTTGGCAAAGGTGCTATAAAATGTATACTTACATGGTAGTGCTTTCTGGAGGGCATTTTGGCAATATATATCAACTCTTAAGTTGATAACCTAGCTTAGCAGTTCCACAATGTAGGCATTTATTTTAAGGAAATAATCAGACATAGAAACCTATTGTATAAATAGATACTCTTATCACAGCAGAGGCTTAGAAACAATCCCAAAATGTCAGCTAATAAAATAATTAAATAAGTTATGAAATATCCATCCTCTATAATAGTATGTAACCATTAAATCATGTTTAAGAGCAATATTTAGTGAGAAGAGGAAGCAGAAAGAAAACTAGAAGACAAATAATCCAGTTTAATAACAGTTATGTTGGGATTGTCCAAGCAGGAATGGGAAACTTCTGGCCCAAGGGCCATATAAGGCCTGTAAAATCACGTGGTCTGGTCCTGCCAAGGCAACTGTAGGTAGGACTTGAAATTGAACAGATGTATAGCAGGCTAATTTTTAAGTTGTCAATTTTGTGTGGTCTATGAATAATGTTATAAATATTCAAATGGCCCTTGGCAGAAAAAAAAGTTCCTCATCCCTGGTCTAGAAAAACAGAACCAACAGGATATATGTGTGTGTGTGTATGCACTGATGCGGATATATCTATAACGAGTCTTCAAAAAGCTCATGTATATTGTGCAAGGGTTTCAGAAATTTTTGCACAAAAATAAGCCTATTTAATTCCATTCTCCATGAACTTTTTGAGGTACTCTTGTGTATGAGTGTGCATAACCAGGAGTGCCAATATTCCAGTTCTAGTTGGAAGGCCAGTAGGCCGTCTACACTTCATATTTCTGCTTCCTATGTTCTGTTCAGACCATCCACTGATTGAGTGATACCCACCCACATTGTAGAAGGCAATCTGCTTTTCTCCAAGGTCACCAGTTTAAATGTTAATCTCATCAAAACATACCCTTCAAGGGGCAGACATTTGGGGAGTGAGCCAATGAATGAGAGATCAGTCTGTCTCTCTACCTTTCAAAAAAACTCTCAAACTTAACCATCAAAAGGGTTAATATCTTGTGTAGTGGGTTTACAGTTGATTTTTACTTTCTCTTTTTATGCATACTTCCATTTTTCATATAAAGATTTATTTTTATTTGTTTGAAAGGCAGAGATACAGAGAGAGAAAGAGAGATGTTCCATCCGCTAGTTCATTCCCCAAATGGCCACAATGGCCAGAGCTGGGCTGATCCAGAGTCAGGAGCCAGGAGCCTCTTTCCCACATGGGTTCAGGGGCCCTTCTTCCGCTTCTTTCCCACGTGCATTATCAGGGAGCGTTATCTGAAGTGGAACAGCCAGGACTTGAGCTGGCAGCCATAGGGGATGCCAGCACTACAGACAGAGGTTTAATACTCTACACCACAGTGCTGGCTTGGACTTACGTTATTTTTGTAACATATTAAACCCTTTGAGTTATAAGGAATGAAGGTTTACTTCAGTTACTTCTAACCAAGTAATTATGAGTAAGTAACCTTGACCTTTGCAAGGCTTTGTAAGAACATAAGATAGCCATAGAACTGGATAGCATACGCATTTGTATGCATTCTGACCATCTGGAAAGTTGTTAGAATCCAGCGCACCTCTAGTGACCTGGTCATCTCTTTGCCCTGACTGACCCTCATCACCAGGATTTCTTTCCTGTGTGTTCTGTAGTAAAGAACTTAGCTATTTTCTCTTCTTGCTGCATTTGTTTCTACCCCTACTACCAATTGCTTTGTTCTCCTTACTGGGCACTAAATCTTTTTATAGTTCTTGAGTTTAAACTCCTGAATAAAAGCATCTGGTTGATCTCATTAGAAGGGGAGGGAGTGGTCCCTATTTAGACGTTTTCCCCAGAGAATTTCACCAGCATGTCTTTCCCTGTTTGTCGTTGTCTTGGTTCAGATGCTCACGTTTTCAGCCACTGATGGCTGAGCTGGAGTGGCAGCCTCGTAACTTGGGCATTTGGATGATGTAAAAATCAGCAGGGAGCCAGCGCTGTGACATAGTGGGCTAAGCCTCCGCCTGAGGCACAGGCATCCCATATGGGCACCTCTTCATGTCCCAGCTGCTCCTCTTCCGATCCAGCTCTCTGCTATGGCTGGGGAAAGCAGTAGAAGATGGCCCAAGTGCTTGGGCCCCTGCACCCGCGTGGGATACCCAGAAGAAGCTCCTGACTCCTGCCTTCGGATGGGCTCAGCTCTGACCATTGTAGCCATTTGGGGAGTGAACCAGCAGACAGATGGAAGACCTTTCTCTCCATCTGTCCCTCTCTCTGTACTCTACCTCTCAAATAAATAAGTAAATAAATAAAAATCAGCAGGGAACAAAAGCAAATATTTCTAAAGGAATTATTTTAGGGAGTAAGCATTTAGCCCAGTGGTTAAAATGCCCGTGTTCCATATTGGGGTTCCTGGTTTGATTCCTGGCTCCAGCTTCTGATTTCAGCTTCCCAGCTGTGCAGACTTCGAGAGACAGTGGTGATGGCGTAAGTGATTGGCTTTCTGCCACCCACATGGGAGACCTGGATTATGTTCCTGAGCCCTGGGCCAGAACATTTGGGAAGTAAAGTAGCAGATGAGCGCTCACTCACTCTGTCTCTCTTTTCCCCCCTCTAAAATAAATAGGAAAAAAATTTAGGCCGGCGCCGCGGCTCACTAGGCTAATCCTCCACCTTGCGGCGCCGGCACACCGGGTTCTAGTCCCGGTCAGGGTGCCGGATTCTGTCCCGGTTGCCCCTCTTCCAGGCCAGCTCTCTGCTGTGGCCCAGGAGTGCAGTGGGGGATGGCCCAAGTGCTTGGACCCTGCACCCCAGGGGAGACCAGGATAAGCACCTGGCTCCTGCCATCGGATCAGTGCGGTGCGCCACCACAGCGCGCTGGCCGCAGCGGCCATTGGAGGGTGAACCAACGGCAAAGGAAGACCTTTCTCTCTGTCTCTCTCTCTCACTGTCCACACTGCCTGTCAAAAAAAAAAAAAATTTTTTTTAAATAAAATTTTGTTTTTTATTCAGTAGTCTGCATTTAAAACATACTTGTAGGTTGTGGTACTCTGTTTTTCCATAAATTTATCTCTGTGGCTTAAACTCTTTCTTTTGTTCTGTTTTTCCATTTCTTTCTTTATAAAATTGACTTATTTGGGGCCAGCATGGTGGAACAGCAGGTAAAGCTGCTGCCTGTGGCACCAGCATCCCATATGTGTGTCAATTTGAGTCCTGTCTGCTCCACTTCTGACCCAGCTCCCTGCTAATGCACCTGGGGAAGCAGTGGGAGATAGCTCAAGTCCTTGGCCCCTGCACCCACATGGGAGTCCTGGAAGAAGCTCCCAGCTCCTGCCTTCGGATTGACCCAGCTCCAGCCACTATGGCCAGTTAAGAAGTGAACCATCTGATGGAAGACCTCCCTCACTGTCTCTTCCTCCCCCATGACTCTGTAAATTTGCCTTTCAAATAAATAAATATATCTTTAAAAAATGATTGTCTTATTTACTTGGAAGACAGAGAGGGGGAATAGAGATCTTCCATCTACTGGTTCACTCCCCAAATGGCCACAGCAGTTGGAACTGGACCAGGCCAAAGCCAAGAGCCCAGAATTCCATCTGGGTCTTCCACATGGGTAGTAGGGATCCGAGGACTTGGGCCATCTTCTGCTTCTTTTCCAGGCTCATTAGCATGGAGTTTAATGAGAAGTCAAGTTGGGGCCAGCGCTGTTGTGTAGCAGATAAAGCCACTGCCTGCAGTGCCGGCATCCCATATGGGCACCAGTTTGAGTCCCGACTGCTCCACTTCCAATCCAGCTCTCTGCTATGGCCTGGGGAGTGAACCAGCAGATGGAAGACCTCTCTCTCTCTTCCTCCCTCTCTCTCACGCGCGCTCTCGCTCATGCTCTCTCTCTCTCTCTCGAACTCTGATAACTTTGGAACTCTGCCTGTCAAATAAATAATTAAATAAGTCTTTAGAAGGAAAAAAAGGCAGCTTTCTTTGATCTGTGCATGCTCTCAGGGTTCATCGTGCCTCTTGCAGTAGCTGTTGAAACCTTGTTAGTTCAGTGACATGTACTAGGCATTAACTTTGTTTATAATTTGGCAGTGAGAGTATAAGTCTGACTCCAGATATCGCGGCAAAGTAAGGATGGAAATGGTTTTCTGGTTTATTATTTGTTTAAAAATATGTTTCCAATGTTAGGCTCCTGCATTTGATATTGTTCATTTAAGTTCTTGAGCAATTTTGATTCCTTCTTAATTCTTTTTGAGCTAATTTTAGATAAACAGAAGTTGTAAATATATGGTTAACCATATCATTAACTGCTATATTATTAAATTATAAACCTTCTGTTCTTTCCTTAACCAGCAGGCATAAAATTATATATTAAATTTGGCCTTGGGCCGGCGCCACGGCTCACTAGGCTAATCCTCCACCTAGCGGCGCTGGCACACCCGGTTCTAGTCCCGGTCGGGGCGCCGGATTCTGTCCCGGTTGCCCCTCTTCCAGGCCAGCTCTCTGCTGTGGCCAGGGAGTGCAGTGGAGGATGGCCCAAGTGCTTGGGCCCTGCACCCCATGGGAGACCAGGAGAAGCACCTGGCTCCTGCCTTCGGATCAGCGCGGTGCGCTGGCCGCAGCATGCCAGCCATTGGAGGGTGAACCAACGGCAAAGGAAGCCTTTTCTCTCTGTCTCTCTCTCTCACTGTCCACTCTGCCTGTCAAAAAAAAAAAAAAAAATTGTGGCATACTGGGTAAAGCTGCCATCTGCAGCACCAGCATCCCACATGGGCACCAGTCAGTGTCCCAGCTGTTCTACCTCCCAGTCCAGCTAATGGCCTGGGAAAAGCAGTGAAAGTTGGCCCAAGTACTTGGGCCCCTGCCACCCATGAAGAAGACACAGATGAAGCTCCTTGCTTCAGCCTGGCCAAGCCCTGGCTGTTTTAGACATCTGGGAAGTGAACTAGAGAATGGAAGATTCTCTCTCTCTTTGTAACTCCATCTTCGAATAAGCAAATAAATCTTTAAACATGTATACAGGGGTCGGTGTAGTGGGCAGAACTGCTGCCTAGGATGAAAGCATCCCATGTGGGTGCCAGTTCAAGACCCAGCTGCTTCACTTCCAATCTCCCTTCCAGTGTACCCGGGAAAGCAGTGGAGGATGGCTCAGGTGCTTTGCCCTTGCACCCATGTGGGAGACCCAGAGGAAGCTCTGGGTTCCTGGTTTCAGCCTGGCCCAGCCCTGGCTGTTGTGTCCATTTAGGGAGTGAACCAGCAGATGGAAGATCTTTATCTCTGTAGCTCTGTGTTTCAAATAAATAAATCTTTTTTAAAAAATTTTAAAATATATATACACATTATGAGAGACAGATGTTTGGTGCAGCAGTAAAGACACAGCTTGGGACACCTTAATCCCATATTAGAATGTCTGATTTGAATCCTGGCTCCTCTACTTCCAATCCAGCTTCCTGCTAATATACATCCTGGGAGGCAGAGGTTATGGCTCAAGTAGTTGGGTGACTGCCACCCACATGTGAGATCCAGGGTGAATTCTGGACTCTGGCTTTGGCCTGGCCCAACCTTAGCTGCTGTGAGCACTTGGGAGGTGAACCACTGGATGGAAGATGGCTCTCTTCCTATCTATATCTGTCTTTGTCTATGTCTCTCTGCCTATCAAATAAATTAAAAAAAAATTTAAATTTAATAAAATGTTAAAAATAAGAAATGAAAAAAAAAAAAAGGCCGGCGCCGCGGCTCACTAGGCTAATCCTCCACCTTGCGGCGCTGGCACACCGGGTTCTAGTCCCGGTCAGGGCACCGGATTCTGTCCCGGTTGCCCCTCTTCCAGGCCAGCTCTCTGCTGTGGCCAGGGAGTGCAGTGGAGGATGGCCCAAGTGCTTGGGCCCTGCACCCCATGGGAGACCAGGATAAGTACCTGGCTCCTGCCATTGGCTCAGCGCGGTGCACTGGCCGCAGCGCGCTGGCCGCGGTGGCCATTGGGGAGTGAACCAACGGCAAAGGAAGACCTTTCTCTCTGTCTCTCTCTCTCTCACTGTCCACTCTGCCTGTCAAAAAATAAAAAAAAAAATAAATAAAAAAAAAATAAGAAATGCACATTATGGTTTATCTTGATAGTTCTGGCAGATATTTCTACAAAGATTTGTCACAGTGTATTTTTTTTAAAGATTTTATTTTGATCAGAGGATTTTTTTTGAGTCATTTATTTATTTGACAGGCAGAGTTAGAGAAAGAGAAACAGAAATCTTCTATCCACTGGTTCACTCCCCAAATGGCTGCAACAGACAGGAGCCAGGAACTCCATCCAGAGGCCCAAGCACTTGGCCAATAAGCTGCTTCTCAGTTGTATTACCAGGGAGCTGCATCGGAAGCAGAGTAGCCGGGACTCAATTTGGCACAAGCAGAGATTTAACCCACGGTGCCACAACACTGGACCCTGTCACAGTGTCTGAAGTGGACGATATGAGGTGCTTTGTTTGACTGTACATTGTCCCGGTGTGTGAAGGATAATGTACTGTCTGCTGTGTCACATATACATTTTGTCTGTGTATAATACCTTCAAAATACTGAAGATAATAAAGTAAGCATAGATTCATTATCACAGCATCACCACTACCATCACTACAAATATATTCATTTTTTCTATAGTATTGGTTATTTCACTAACATGAGAGATTTTTGCCCATTTAGAGTCAAAATACAAATAAATAAAAAAGCCAAGAGCCAGCTTTGCTCTGTGGAGGCTTGAGCAGACTAATTAGTATCAGCATCTCTCCCAACTTCTTGCTGCTTCTTAGATGTGTGCAGCGGGAAATCTCTGAAATTGTGTGGAGCTTCGTACCTCCATGTGCACGTGTGCCCTCAGAGTGAGGTCTCTAACTTTACTTAGGTTCCCTCAGGAGTCTAGTAAGAAAGGTTGAGAAGCTCTGTTCTAAACAAACTCCATCCCACCAAATTGCTCTGCTTGTTCCTGTTTCTGCCTGTCCCAGGCTTGCAGTCTCTGTTACAACTCCGTGCTGACCGCCGCCTCCTTTGAGGTCCAGCCTTCTTACCGTGTTACCCTGGGCCCTGGCCCTGGCCAGCTGCTGCCTCTCAGTTACGGTCTTGTTCATTGACAGTCAGCGTGCTGTGGCCTGTGTTGTTCTTCATCTGTTTATGGATCCTTCCCCTGACCTTCCCAGACCCTAAGATGCTTCTAGGCACTGTCTTTACCTTGCCACTTTCCCCGGGTATAAATTATACCCTAAGCATACTTTGGTAAGTGCTCAGTGCACATTCTTCTTGTTCATCGTGATGCCAACTGAAGCAGCTGAGTCCTTTATATGCTGATTTCTTGGTAGCCTTAGGAACCTTTACAGAAAGTGTGAAATGAACACCTTGCATGGGGATAATCGTTCACTTAGGCGAGTGCTTTTTGGCTGTGTGTTTGACAAGACCTTCAGCATTCATAGTTTTTCTTCTCTCAACAGTGGAAAGAACCATGCTAGACTTTCCTCAGCATGTTTCTACTGACAGAGAAGTACGGGCAGCAAGTACAGAAGCGGACAAGAGGCTTTCTCGCTTTGATATTGAGATGAGCATGAGAGAAGATATATTTCAGAGAATCGTTCACTTACAGGTAAATGTTGTCATAAATCCCTTTAAAATGAAAAACAACTCTAAAACTAAGAAGTGAGCACCAGAAAAAGTACTTGAATTTTCCTAGGTTTTCTCCAATGGTAATAATAATGTGCATTGCCCAATACTGTATTGCATCATTGTGGCTTCCGTTGAGTTGCTGATTCCATTCATTTAAAATTAAAGACTAGGTATAGATGAATGCACACTGTAAATCTAAGGTTTTTTTAATCACCGTGAACTTGGCGGTTCAATGTAAAAGCCTCTTTGAGTTTTCAAAATATTACAAAATTTCAAAATATTCAGGCCTTGATTTGCCTTCTGACATTTTCCTCATATCTTTGTTTTAAATTTTAATTTTCCTGCCACCTCACTGATTTGTTTGGAAAACAACTGGTATGTTACCAACCTTAGGCACTTTTCGTTCAATTTTGTATGTTTCTCCAAAATTTTAAAAAAAATTTTATTCCTTTTTTACAAATTATATCGAGTCAATATAAAACTTTAATTTGGAACTCATGATAGAATATGTAATCAAGATTTCAAGTCACCATGTAAGATGTATATGCTATTTATTTTCTTATGTCAGATAAGAATTTTCACCCTAACAATTGATAATCATCTGTATAGTTCATAATAGTTCACCTTTGGCACTATAAAAATAACTTGCATAAATAAAAATAACTTTGTGATCTTTCTTTATTAGAAATTAATCTGCTTTCTGTTCTCCTTTTGACCATAGTTGTTATTCTATATGATTTGAATTGGCCTTTATAATCTCACAGTTTGATTTAATCATTAAGTGACCTAATTTTCTTCCCAGTTCTAGATTTTCGTGTGTACTTAAGAATTTTTCCTAGAGTTTCTATTTTTTAAAGATTTATTTATTTATTTGCTGGTTCACTCCCCAATTGCCTGCAACGGCCGGAGCTGGGCCAATCCAAAGCCAGGAGCCAGGAGCTTCTTCCCAGTCTCCCATGCAGGTGCAGGGGCCCAAGAGCCTGGGTCATCTTCCACTGCTCTCCCAGGCCATAGCAGAGAGCAGGATTGGAAGTGGAGCAGCTGGGGGTACGAGAGAGAGGGGGAGAGAGAGATTCCATCTCCCAGTTCACTTTCCAAATGGCTACAACACCTGGGGCTTAGCCAGGCTGAAGCCAAGAGCCTGGAAACCCATCTGGGTCTCCCTAGTGGCAGAGACCCAACTACTTGAGCCACCCTCCACTGCACATTTGCAAGGAGCTGGATGGGAAGTGGAGCAGCCAGGACCCTAGCTGGCATTTGTATGGATGTTGCCTTCGCAGCCGGCCTAATCCACTGTGCTACAACGGTGGACCCCTTAAAAAAAAAAAGATGTATTTATTTATTTGAATCTAAGTTTTCATTTGGAATAATGGTATTGCTAGTCCATCTTACCTGAGTCTTTAGGGGTGTTATCAAGATCTCAAAGTTGTGTGTTTTTAGATTTCTATGACATTCTTTAAAATTTTGTATGTATTTGGGACAGAATTTGACCCAACCTACAGCCTGTCCAGTAGAACAGCACACCACAGGGACCAAGTGTTCACCAGCGCGTTCATCAGATTTGTGCAGTTGGTTGAACTGATTTAATTTCAGGGCTTTATTGCAACAATTTAAGGTAGTTTCAGATTTGGCTCCATAACTTTTCTTCTCTCCAGTGGAGTAATTACTCTCATGCATGTGGGTTATTATATTTACATTTTTAGGGGCTTCTGTCTGTCAAGATGTTGGAATAATAATAAATAACAATTGTGTTTGTTTTTGCACTGAAGCTCATCAGGTAAAGTTGGTTACCTTGGAATACCTTCCCTGACAAATAGTTATGTTTATTTAAGCAATATTTTATAAATTCTAGAATTGTAAGAATTATTTTCTGCCAGAATTGGACATACATGGTAAATTTCATCCCATGCATACCTAAAGGACCAAATTACATATAATCCAAATAGTCTATTTATTTTATTCTAAAATATGTGATAATAGACATATTGTAACACACAGAGCCTTCTCTAAGGTGCATAAATAAGATCTTCAGTTAATAGGAAGTCAGCAATTTCAGCCTTGCTCTACTAAAATGAGGGTGCTATAAATAGCAGTTTCCAAGGTGCCACTAATGTAGACAGTAATTAAATATATTACCCAAACTAGATAGAAAATGTTATGTCATTTTTCACTTAGGATTAATAAATGGAAAGGTGAAATCACTTTGCTTTCCATGGTTCTTAGTGCAGATCTGTGAGCAATAAAGGTTTCAGTTGCCTATTGACCTGACGTTCCCCAAAAACGCAGTGGCCAGAAAGAGCAACAATCATTGGAGTTTCCCTCATAGTTTCTGGGTGTCAGGAATGCAGGAGAGAATCTGCCGGGCATTTCTGACGGAGGTCTCACCTGTGGTCTCAGGCAGTGGTGGCAAGAATCGAAGCAGGCAGGAGCCCAGCAGGCATCTCTTTCTTTACCAGGTCTCAGAGTATGTCTTAGTCGGCTCAGGCTGCCGTGACAAAATATGATGGACTGGGTTGGTGATTTAAACAATGGAAATGTATTATCTTCACAGTTGTGGGAGCTGTAAGTTCAGGATGAGAGTATGGCGAGAGCTGTTTTCTTGGCTTGCAGATGGCCCCATGTGTCCCTCCTCACATGCCTTTCCTTGGTGGAGGTGGGGAGATACCTCCTCCTCTACTTCTAAGAGGCCACTACTTTGCTATATTAGACCTCATCTTTCTCCCTGCCATCTAATGCCTGGCTAGAAACATTACATTTGTGTATCGACAGAGTGATCTAACTTAATCTTTTTACCAATTTTGTGAAGTAGCCCTTTTGATAACTGAAGAAACTGGCCCTCAGAAATGGTCACTTTCTGGGCAGTGTTGTGGCGTAACAGGCAAAGCTGCTGGCTGCAGTGCCGGCGCCCTGTATGGCTGCTCCACTTCTGATCCAGCTCCCTGCTAATGGCCTGGGAAAGCAATGAAAGGTGGCCCAAGTGCTTGGGCTCCTGCACCCACAGGGGAAACCGGGAAGAAGCTCCTGGCTCCTGGCTTCAGCCTGTACCTACCCTGACTTATGCAGCCATCTGGGGAGTGAACCAGTGAATAAAAATTCTCTCTCTCTCCCTCTCCCTCTGCCTCTCCCTCTCCCCCTCCCTCTCTAGCACTTTCAAATAAATAAATCTTTTAAAAAAAATAAAAATAAAGAAATGGTAACTTTCCAATAGTCACAGTCACTTACTTGGTAAGTGCTTGTGAAAAACCATGTAGACTTCATTTTGAACCCTTCAAGGGAGGAGGTACCATGTTTGATTCTGTCCTGACCCTCTGGCAGAGTGCCTGATATAAAGTAAGCATGCAGTGAATGTTCATCGGACTAAAATGAGAAACCAGTTAGTGGCAGTTGAACCCATTAAACCTTTGCTAATTGGTACTAGAACATGAGCTATCCTTGTAGAAAAAATGAAATGATTGGCTGTCTTCCTGACAAACTGGAAAACAATTACTGACAGATTAGTCTTAGTTAATAAAAGTTTATATATAGGGGGCCGGTGCTGTGGTTTAGCAGGTAAAGAAGCTGCCTGCAGTGCCACCATCCCATATCGGCACCGGTTCAAGTCCCGGCTGCTCCACTTCCGATCCAGCTCTCTGCTATGGCCTGGGAAAGCAGCAGAGGATGACCCAAGAAGTCCTTGGGCCCCTGCACCCACATAGGAGACCCAGAAGAAGCTCCTGGTTCCTGGCTTCGGATCGGTCCAGCTCTGGTCGTTGCAGTCGTTTGGGGAGTGAACCAGAAGATGGAAGACCTCTCTCTCTTTCTCTGCCTCTCTGCAACTCTGCCTTTCAACAAATAAATCTTTTTATAGGCAGCTATATGAGATCTGGACAGGGATCATGTCTTAAACAAAAAGTGCTGACTATGAAATAAAAGGCTAATGGATTTGACTAAGTTAAAATAAATAACTTCTATTGATAAAGAAAATGAAAATAAATTTGCAAAATATTGGAGTAGAAACATATTCTAGGATATATAAATAAAAATCTACAACAGTCAATAAATCAGTGAAACAATACCAGTGGAAAAATGGGCAACGAAATAAAGAATTCAGGAGAAACACAAGTGGCAAGTACATATATGAAGAGATGTTAAACCTCATTAGTAATGGGGGAAACACAAATGATTACCAATGTTTTTCTCTCAAACATTTGCAGAAATTGAGAAATTGGAAATGCTAAGTTTCCTTGTGGATGTAGATGAAGAATGTTTATGCACTGCTTGTAAGAGTATAATTGATTAAAAATAATCAGTACCAATTTGGAGAAAAACTTAGCATTATAAAGTTGGGTCTTACATTTTTTACAATTTAGCATGTCCTCCCTGCCTATGCTTGGAGTTTACCCAGAGATATTTTGCATTTGTATACAGGTGAAGTTGGATAAACGTTTGTAGCAACATTACAAAATCAAAACACTGAACCAACGTAGATTTCCAACAGAAAGAAAATGGATTAATAAATTGTGGTACATTTGTGCAATGAAATCTTACATATAGCATTGAAATAAATAAACCAGAGCAGGCTGGAGCAACATATAAATCTTAATAACAATGAAAGAAAAATTGCAGAATGCTTTATACAATGTTGTATTATTTTATAAAGTTCAGAAAAAAGCAAAACTAAAAATATACATGAATGATGAGACTGGAAAAATGTTAATCACAAAATTCAAAACAATTATCTTCTGCATAAGTTACCTATTGTATAGGAAAATGCAACTGTTGTTAATGTCCTATTTTATAAGTTGAAGGGTAGATTTGATTTGTCCTCATTACTTAATATATAGTTTTCTTCATTTGTAGATATTGTAAAAATGCATACATTAAATGTATCCTTATTTATATCAAAAAAAAGTGACGTAGTAAGGATTTCTTCATCAGAACTGTCAAAACTCAGCAGTTACGGCCACAAGTCTTGTCGTTTCCCAGTTCTGACTGTGGATTCTCAATCACTGGCCAAAAAGCCCAGCAAAGAAGATCAAAGAAGTTTCCTACATGCTCTTTTCAGTCATATTGATGAGAAAAATGTACCATGTCTGCATGTTAAAACAGTCCAGGCGTATTTTATTCTAGTGGCCTGCTAAGTAAAAAATGCATGAGATGAATTCTTTAGTGAAATAGTGACTAAATTATACAAGCTAAGTTTGGGAAATACAGTGACCTATTATACTATTACCTATATTTTTTCAGAGTTGCAAGCTTTGTTCTTGTCAATCTATTTTAGCCCGTTAATGATTTATGTGGAAGTTTTAATGTTACAGGAAAGAGGGCATATGATTAAGGGTGGATGCTTTTAAGCATTGTGTGATTTCTCCTACTCACCCCGCCGTGGAGAACCAGTGCCAAATGAAGATGCAAAACCACTGCTTTAAAAACTATGACGGAAAAACGAACAAAAAACTATCCAAAATTCACTTCCATTCCATTCTCTCTATTTGCCATGCCTTCTTAATTTCGAAATGTATAAGTTTAGTCATTGCTCAGGAGCGGTACTACAGAAGCTTGTAACTTTGGCTGTTTGAAGCCTGAGTATCCAGGTATAAAGCACCAACTTCGTTGCCTTAGTTTCTCTGTGGGTTGGTGCCCCTCATTTGATACTTACCCCCTTTTGCATGTCCTTCATGACATTGAAGTTATCTATAAGTCCTTTTATCCCTTCAAGTGACCGGAAGTTTCTCTGGGATCTTCCCTTTTGTTTTCCTAGTGCCTGGCATCAGCTGGAGTTCAGCAAATGTCTGCTGAGCGGGACTGAACTGGCCCCGGTTAGAGTGTGGTGGCCCACGTCAGGGTCCTGCCCTGGCCCCACTGCGGCCGTGAGCCCTGGGATGGTGCATTGAGTCAGCAGGCAGGACGCGGCCCTCTGTGCTTCCCTATAGGCGGCTGCTGAAGGCTGGCCTCTTCACAGCAGCAGAATGAAACCTAACAGTGAGGCCGTGGATGGGAGGGCATGAGTGCAGAGGGAAGCAGAAACTAAACTCCATGTAACGCAACTGAGAATTGTTTCTCTGATTTAGCTTTTCAATAACATACTCTAATGCCTTATTACAGCACTTCCTTAGTAAATTCTAAGTTTATGAATCTGTTTCTCAAGTGATAGAGGAAGCTGCTACCTCAGTCTTCAGTGCTTTTCTAACGTTATTATTTCTATTTGTATACACAGTGTGTACAACACAGAAAATTCCACCAAAGTCATTATTGACATATTTTAGAGACTTGAAATATGAAGGTCTTTTCACAGGGACAAAGTCATGAGACAGAAGATGAGGAGAGTTTGGGGAAATTTAAGGGCATTTCATATTTTTTATTGTGAAATTTTATTTATTTATTTATTTATTTGCCAGGCAGAGTTAGACAATGAGAGAGACAGAGAGAAAGGTCTTGTTTCCGTTGGATCACCCCCAAATGGCTGCTACGGCCAGCACTGTGCTGATCTGAAGCCAGGAGCTGGGTGCTTCCTTCCAGTCTCGCATGCGGATGCAGGGACCCAAGCACTTGGGCCATCCTCCGCTGCCCTCCCGGGCCACAGCAGAGAGCTGGCCTGGAAGAGGAGCAACCGGGACTAGAACCCCGGGTGCCGGCGCCGCAGGCGGAGGATTAGCCAAGTGAGCCACAGCACTAGCCTATTGTGAAATTTTAAAGAATGATAATGAATTAAGGATGGGAATGTAGTAGAATGCACATTGAGAGAAGCATTAAACTAAGAACTTGGAGTATTTCATCTCTGCCATTTTTACCATTAGATGGCGAAGTCATGGAAGCCCAGTTTTCTTGTCTGTTGCGTGAGTGTCTGAGCACACTTGTGAGAGAGAGGACACATTTATATGAAAGCTGTTTGCTACAGGAGGAAGTTGAGGGGATTTAAGTCTGTCACTATAGACATAAAAATAAGGGCCCGTCTGTCAGATCACGTATGTTTAGAAGTTAACGCAGGGTACTTCAGTCCTTCCTTTAAAGAAGAAAACTTCTCCCGAAGAGGTCTGAAACAAAGTCAGGGGGAGAAGTTCTTGTTCAGGAAGGAAGGTGCAATTACAGTAAAAGCAGTCTAGAAGTGCTGACCAGTTCCTCTGAAGATCCACAGGCAGTAATTCTGACCTTGCTCGGGGATTATACGGGCGATTATTATTATGATCAGCCCTGGATCAGAAATATACTTAAGAAGCACATCTCACAAGTGTCTTCCTGCTACCAGAGACCTCCAGGGATTTCTCAGACCTCAGAGACTGCCAAGGGGTGTCTGCTTGTGACCGAGTCAGATTTTTGTTAAGTATCATTTCATTTTTGTGTTAAATTAAATATTTCAGTGCAGCTCACTAGTCATATTTCAATTCACTCTAATTCAGGGCTGATTTTTCTCAGAATATCCTTCTACCTGGTCGTACCTGTATCACCTATTTTGGAGGTGATTTTCATCTAAACCATGAATGTTGCGTTTACTCTCCCGAGTGTACTTGCAGTCTTTCTGAAATAGCGCTGCCACCTCTGTGGTGGCTCCTTCCAACCTGCCTAGTGTGGGAGGCTGCCCTGCTCCAGCACAGAGTAGGAGTCCCGCTTACATGCACTGCTGAGGCTTGGTGAGGAGCCCAGCAGGCCCGGAACCCCACTGTCCCAGCTTCTCATTGGCTCACTTCCCTGCCAGGATGGCCTGTGCTCTGGCTCTCAGCCTGCTCACCTCAGCATCTGCCAGGGCCCTCCCACCAGGCATTCTCCCAGCCTCCCAAGTTGCAGTATTTTACCGTCTGGGGACTCCTGTTGCTATGCCTCACGCTTGAGCACAGACTTCCTGGCGCTATTGAAGCCAGCCTAGACCAACTTTCATTTCAAGGGAATCACATCTGCAAGAGCACTGAATTTGAAGTGCTGGCCATTCCTGAGGGAACCAGTCCATAACCCAGTTCTCTCCCTGGCTATTTTGGTTTCTTCCCATGGTAGGCACCTGCTGTGGGGTGCCAGCATATGCCAATACCAGTTAGGGGGCATTCCAGTTCCAGTCATACCAGCATGCTTACAAATTCTCCAGGGATACAGCAGGCTATGGAAAAAGGAGTGTAACTGTGCTGTCCTCCGCTGAGGATAAACTCAGAGGAAATGATGAGTAATGGATGCACAAGTGTTTTAGTGCTGTGACACAAAATTTTAATTGGCAGGCAAATAAGGTAGATGCTTTTGGCTATAACACCTCCCCTGCCTGCGTTAAACCGCACCTCTCTTTGCCTGCTGCAGCCGTAAGTGCAAAATTATAGAACAATTGCTGAGTGAACCTAGCACCAAGAATCTGAAATACAGTCTCTAAAGCCAAACACAATTCTTTTAAAGCTTTACTTAGTTGGTAAATTAGGGATGGACAGCCCAGGTCTTCCATGCAGAGTGTCCAACCAATAGGAGGTCTCTAAGGCTCTAGTGACAGAAATCCCTCGTTGACTCTCAACCAAGGTGAACCTGTTACACCTGCTGAATTTGTCCAGAGTCCATTTCCTCCCTGGGACCGGTAACTGACCAGCTACTCACATGTGCCATGTGCACTCTGCAGCCCGTTTTGGAGAGACATCTGTTGTTTTCATTACCTCGCTGTGGCAGGGGGAATTCTCCATTCTCCTCCAGGGCCCCCTGTTCTTCCGAGTGCTGTTTGTGTCGCTCCACACAGGTTCAGATTCACTACCCAGCTTTCCTGGTCTGTGCGGTGCTGACTCATTTCCCCCAGATACTTGTTCTATGCGGCTTGCTGTAGTCCCTTGATCTCTCTTGCCAAATGACAGAAAGGCATTTTTGAAGTGTTGGCAGCCTTCTGCTGGGGTTTTATCCAGCTGTCCTTGTTTGGTATGTTGGCAAGAGAGTCCCACTACGCATTTATGTAGAGTTTACCCCCATTATTTCTATTCCTGCCTCTCAAGTGGAACCAGGTTAGCAAATGATAGAAAATGAAATCCAGATGATTTGTGATAAGAAATCTGTTTTGTGAAAAAGATCACTCAGTCATAAAGGATTCTCAGAATGAGATTATGCAAATACTTCTATTATCACACTCTGAAGAGGTACAGGCACCCTGGATTCTGATGAAAGCAATTCTAGTTAGCTTTTTATTTGTTTAATGTTTCTTATTTAAACAAATAGAAGCTCAGTAAAGCATAAAGAAATTAGTTCTTCTAAAGGGCCTGTCTCGTATTCACCTGTATGCTTCCTAGCCCAGCAAAGATGGTGAATAAATTTGCTCTGACCTCATAGTTTATAATTCACCCATGCACTGCTGCAACAGAAGTGGTTGTCCTGCTGTTTCATTTCAGGAAACCTGTGATCTGGAGAAGATAAAGCCGGAAGCCAGACGATACTTGGAAAAGTCAGTTAAAATGGGAAGAAGGAATGGGCTCCACCTTCCAGAAGAAGTACAGAATGTGAGTTTATGTTTCTTTATTTGAAAAATAACACTGCCACCACCAACAAAGAATAAATAAAGCAAAATAGAACAAAAGTCAGAAAATAGGGAAACATGGTTTTAATAAGGTAACTCGTAACATCCATTTACAAGATATTTAGTATGCCATTTGCATTTGGTTTTAAATTCTGCAACTCAGATGAATTTCCTGGTGACTGATAAATAACTGATAACTTAGTTGTTCTTCCATTATGTCCAAGTTTTGTTTCATGTCTATTTGCTTATTTTTCCTTGCTCTATTATATATTCTTTAAGAGCTAGTTCCAGGTCTTAATAGTTGATTTGTATTCTCATTCCTTTGATCACACAGAAATAGGGAACTAATAATGAAATCCTTATTGATGGGGAGCTTTGAAACCAGCCCTTTGGAATGGAACACTCTGAGACTGATATATGCCTCTTAAAGGAAGAGAGATTGGCTTTGAAAAATGGCCCTCAAATGTTTTGTTTTAGCTATTGCTGATTGAGTCTTCCAAGTTCAGAAATAAACTTGGCTGTGGAATTTACCTCATTCTTCTTGGACAGGAAATATAATCCGTGATTTATTTTCAGGTCATTCGTCTAGCCAGTAGAACTGAAAATAAGTTTGAAAGAAATCCCAACCAAGTGATGTCAGCATAGTGGATATAACTGTTGGCGCCACAGAGGCATGGTCACCTTTCTTCCATGGATGTGCCCTCCGATTACCTTGTATTCTCTTCTACCTGGGTAGAGAATTGTGGCTGATCTCGCTTACCTGACCTTGCCCTTCCTGGTCAATGCCCAGTTTTGTTTGAGACGTGAACACTGGTAGTTAAGATATGTTTAGTTGCAACTAGCAAAATCCCTTTTTTTTTTTTTTTTGCCTGTATAACTGGAAGGTCCAGAGGTGAATAAGCTTATGAGTTAGTTGAATCAAGACACACGATGGTGTCATATGCCATTTGATTTTTTTTTCCTCTATCTTCTTCAGCGTTAGTGTTATCCAAAGACTGGTTTCCTTTTATTTCTAAAATTGATGTAAATCTAAAAATCCCACCATCCTGAACATACAGAGCCTTCATCAAACTTCCTCTCATGTCTTAAGGTCCCAGAATGGGTCCTGTGCCTAATCCTGAATCCCCCAATGGTTGGGGGAATGCAAGTCCTGAGATATCTGATAGCTTCAGATAGGATCAGGTTCTATCTGAACTACGTGACTACTATACTGTAAAGTAGGGATAAGTGAAGGCAGGTTGAGGAGACACCAAAGTGTGGAAGAACAACACGAGCCATGTGTGTTAAGTCTGCGGTCTCAAATTTAAATGTACATCAGAATTATCTGGAGGGCGTGTTGAAATCATTCCCCTGAGGGACCAGTGCTGTGGTATAGTAGGTTACGCCAGTGCGGGCATCCTATATGAGTGCCAGTTCACATCCTGGCTGCTCTACTTTTGATCCAGCACCCTGATAATGGCCTGGGAAAGCACTGGAAGATGGCCCAAGTGCTTGGACCCCTGCACCCACATGGGAGACCTGGAAGAAGCATCAGGCTCCTGGCTTCAGATTAGCCCAGCTCCAGCTGTTGTAGCATCTGGGGAGTGAATCAGTGGATGGAAACCTCTCTCTCTTTCTCTGTTTCTGTTTCTCTCTGTAACTCTGGCTTTCAAGTAAATAAATAAATGTTTACAAAAGGAAGGAAGGAAGGGAGGGAGGGAGGGAGGGCGGGCGGGCGGGCGGGCTCTGTAAAACTAAGATGTTACATTTTTTTTTCCCAGAGTGACCTTAGAATTAATTACTTAGTTCTTATGTCTTAGTCTACTTCAACACCAGATGCTGATTACTAAATTGAAAGTTTGAATTGGAAAAGATGAGAAATATGCTAATTGGTAATGGGCTATTGGATTTGTTCATCCTCAACTTCTACTTATTGTGTGTGTACTATGTGCCAGATACTGCTTTTGCTATACCTCCTAAATTTATTTATTCCTAAATTTAAAACCAATTTGTAGCACATCACCAGACTTCTCTATGAGTAAATGCTACACACAGTTACACATGGACATGACGGAAGGCTGCAGAAAGCTATTCATCAAGCACATCTCTAAGAAAATACTTCCTGAGGGAAGTATTTTACATAAAGGTTGGCTTTTGTGAGATTTACTTGAGTGATGGCAAAAAAAAAAAAAGTAAGTTTATTTTTATTGGTAATGTCCTGTATTTTTATCTTCATTTCAGGAAATCAAATCAATGAAGAAAAGAATGAGTGAGCTCTGTATTGACTTTAACAAAAACCTCAATGAGGATGATACCTTCCTTGTGTTTTCCAAGGCTGAGCTTGGTAAAATTTTGTTATTTTTCTAAATTAAATTATGCCAGTTAGGCAAATAGTGTCACTTTCACTTTGCAGATAGATAACGTAACGTTCAAAGAATTCTTAAAAAATCCATTATCTAGTCCACTATCCGTTCTGCAGAAAAGACAACCAAACAGGTCAATATTAGGTTTTAAGCTAACAAGAGTATATACTATTTCTAGAAATAGCCTACAGGAAATTCCATAATCTTTTTTTTTCCATGATCTTTCTTGGTAACTGATACTAGTGTTTTGCAGCCTTCAGAGTTTTGAGATTTTTTTCTGCCTTGCCATGCCCCTGCGCTGTGATTTAACCTAGCTGCTGCTTCTGTTCTGGGTCTTCCTTGGAGGAATATTGCCCATTCTACCTCATCACACCATCTGCACAAGTGTACTGAAGCCTATTCATGGCTTGAATCCCATCCCCTGAGCCACCTGGCCTCTAACTGCCACCCCCTCTCCAACAACATCAAATGGTATTAAAAGGATTGTCATTATTTTACTGGAATTTCAATTACTCCACAAAATTCCTAGAGCTATTCACTGGCATGGTGCCAATGCTAAATAAACCAATAATGAGTGGAAAAATTAATGTATAAGAAAATGATTTTTTGCAGGTGCTCTTCCTGATGATTTCATTGACAGTTTAGAAAAGATGGATGATGACAAGTATAAAATTACCTTAAAATATCCACACTATTTTCCTGTCATGAAGAAATGTTGTATTCCTGAAACCAGAAGGAGAATGGAAATGGCTTTTAATACAAGATGCAAAGAGGTACCATAACTATTTATCTTTTGTTTTTAGTGGACGATTTTAATAAAAATATTTGCTTTGTTTACTAATTCAGTTCTGATATTTATATTCCTATTTATGAGTGCATTGTAACTCCTAATTCCTCAGACCTACAAGACTTTAGCTTCTTCGTTCACTGACATCCTGGTTGGCATGGCCACAGGCTACACTGTTGAATTAAATAAACTAGACGTTATATTCCTTTCCCAAGTCAACAGCCTAGGGATGGTAAGGCATCTTTCCCTCATCTGCAAGTGACTTTCTTTTTTAAGATTTTTATTTATTTATTTGAGAGTTAGAGCTACAGTGAGAGAAAGGCAGAGAGAGAAGTCTTCCATCCACTAGTTCACTCTCGCAATGGCCTGAGCTGGGCCAGTCCAAAGCCAGGAGCCAGGAGCTTCTTCCAGGTCTCCCACATGGGTGCAGAGGTCCAAGCACTTGGTCCATCTTCCACTGCTTTCCCAGACCATAGCAGAAAGCTGGATCGGAAGAGGAGCAGCTGGGACTAAAACCATATGGGATGCCGGTACTGCAGGCACAGGATTAACCCACTGCGCCCCTGCAAGTGGCTTCTGAAAGTCATTCCTTGGACTGACCATTTCTCAGCTTCATGGGAAGTGGCAAGAAAAGAGTACAGAGCAAAGGCCTATCCATTCACATCCCATTGACCCAAGTTGCATCATTAGCTGTATCTAGTTACAAGGCAGGCTGGGAAATGTAGACTTTAGTTGACATCCATTTGCTTAACTTAGGAGGTTCTACTAAAAGGAAGAATTAAAAATGAATTCTCTAAGGGTCAACTAGCTAGCTGTTGTAGTCTGTCTCTCTGGCTATCAGAGTAACCATGATTACCCTTTTATCCACACATAAATCTATTTACCATTTTTTTTAAAGATTTATTTATTTATTTGAAAGTAAGAGCTACAGAGAGGCAGAGAGAGAAAGAGAGGTCTTCCATCTGCTGGTTCACTCTCCAGATGGCTGTAAGGGCCAGAGCTGAGCCAATCAGAAGCCAGAAGCCAGGAGCTGCTTCTAGGTCTCTTTTGGGCCATCTTCTGCTTTTCTAGGCCATAGCAGAGAGTTTTATCATAAGTGGAGTAGCCAGGACTCGAACCGGTGCCCATATGGGATGCCGGCACTGCAGGTGGCAGCTCTATCCACCTTGCCACAGCACTGGCCCCCCATTCACCATTTATTAATTTCCAACCAGTTGTTCCTTGAGCTCAAAGACCAATATCGGTGGGTGATACACAGTTCTCCCCAGTTGTAGTTTCTTATGCGCTAGCAACCTAGTAAAGGAAAGACAAAGTATTAGCCCTTAAACTGTTCCAGTGGTGGAATATGAATGGATTAGCCACACTAAAAACTCCTATATGGAAAAATAAAGAATGGGAAACATAGTAAACCTATAGCAATTTTTTTTTATTGGTGGGGGTGATTGGGAGGATTTGTGTTCTGGTGAAGTTTCTTGGTTAGCACATTGGACTTTCCTTGGTTCTACCTCCTTTCTTCTTCTTCTTTTTTTTTTTTTTTTTTTTCATGTGCTTGAGTTTTTGAGAGTAGGAAGGTTGGGGAAAAGAGGGATATAAATTTTTTAAAAGATCTGATGATTTATTTGAAAGGCACAGTTACAGAGAGGGGGGAGAAACAGAGAAATCCTCCATCTACTGGCTTACTCCCCAAATGGCCACAATGGCCAGAGCTATGCTGATCTGAAGCCAGAAGCCAGGAGCTTCTCCAGATCTCCCACATGGGTGCAGGGGCCCAACCACTTGGGCCATCTTCTGCTGCTTTCCCAAACTCATTGACGGGGAGCTAGTTTTGGAAGTGAAGCAGCTGGGACTAGAACTGGCACCACATGGGATGCTGGCACCACAGGTGGCGGCTCTACCCTACTACAACAGCAAATACCTGGGCCTATCACAGAAAGGCCTTTGCCTCTGCTTTCTGTCAAGCATTCTTTATCAGTTAGTTGTACCCCAAGGCCCCTGGTTTTGCTCACAGGAAGTCTTTCCCTTATGCTCCATGTCTGGGTCTCAGGCAGCCGCCGTCACAGATCCTTGCTGATGCCAGTTTGAAACCCAAGGGTTGCTTTCAGAATCAAATAATCACAGGCCTGTGTGTGCCAGGCTTATGATATCTTTGGTAATGAAATTTCCCCAGAAGCATGGGTGGCTTGTCTGTTCACTTCCAGTCAGATACTGGCTCAAGTACTTATGCCCAAATATTGCTTTTGCTCGAACCTGCCAAAGATGACCTTTACTAGCTCCTATGTTTATCCACCCACTTGTCCTCAGACCCCCGATCCAGTAGGCTTGAGGGAGAAGACAGCAGTCCCAGAGCAGTCCCTGCAGTTCGGCAGTTGAGTGCATGCTTCTCACCCGATGTGGACCACGGCCAAAACCTTCTTCCACAGAATCCTTTTTCTTTCATCTTAGCAGACCCGCTAATTTTCACATGGACTCATCTGTCCTGTAATCTTTCTAAAAGCAACAAATCCATGTCGACATTATCAGTTTTCCCAAGCAATAGCTGAATAGCAAAGATTCAGTCTGCCTTCCAAATTATGGCAAGCAACAGTTTCAGCAGGTGTTATCTGTGGTGAAAGAAGATCATGAGACCCTCTGCAGCGTCTGCGTCCTCACCTTGCATTCCAGCACACGTTTTGTATGGGCAATATCAGCGCCCTACTCCTGGTGCCGGTCTCTCATGTCAGGGCACAGGCCATTCAAGTTTATAAAAGTCAACCAAAAGCACAGTGACTCGTAAGTCATTTTTTTTCCAACAATAGATTAGAAGCTATCAGAGACTGAGGGAAGGGGACACTGGGGAGTGATTGTTAATGGCTTCAAAGTTTCTGTTTGGGGTGATGGAAAAATTAGAGAAACAAATCTTTGCACAACTGGGAGAATATAATTAATGCCACTTAATTGTATACTTAAAATGGTTAAAATGCATATTTTATTTTACATATGTTAGCACAATTTAAAAAACAAAGTTTTTTTTTTTTTTTTTTAAGATTTATTTATTTGAAAGAGTTACAGAGAGAGCTAGAGAGAAAGAGAGAGAGAGAGAGAGAGGTCTTCCCTCCGCTGGTTCACTTCCTAAATGGCCTCAACAGCTGGAACTGAGCAGATCTCAAGTCAGGAGCCAGAAACTTAGCACTTGGGCCGTTCTCTACTGCTTTCCCAGGCACATTATCAGGGAGCTGGATCAGAGTCGAGCAGCCAGGACTCAAACAGGTACCCATATGGAATGCTAGCGTTGCACACCAGGGTTTTAACTCACTGTATCACAGTGCTGGCTCCCCAGAAAGATTTATTTCTCTCTCTCTCTCTCTTTTTTTTTAAGATTTATTTTATTTATTTGAAAGTCAGAATTACACAGAGAGAGAGGAGAGAGAGAAAGGTCTTCTATCCAATGGTTCGCTCCCCAATTGGCCACAACGGCCAGAGCTACACCGATCTGAAGCCAGGAGCCAAGAGATTCTTCCAGGTCTCCCACACCAGTGCAGGGGCCCAAGGGCTTGGGCCATCTTCTACTGCTTTCCCAGGCCATAGCAGAGAGCTGGATCAGAAGTGGAGCAGCCGGGTCTCGAACCGGCGCCCATATGGTATGCCTGTGCTTCAGGCCAGGGCATTAACCTGGTGCACCACAGCGCCAGCCCCGTGGTTTATTTCTCTTGAAACTGGTAGTCCAGAGGTGAGTAGTCCAGAGCTGGAGGACAGCTCTACCAGCTTAGTAGGGTACTTCCAGGGTCGTTGTTGTCAGCTTCAGTTTACACCTGTCAAGGCAAGCATCTATAGAGGACCCAGAAATTTCACCAATCTCTTCATTCACATTCTAGTGTCCCGTTATGTGTCACATGACCACAACTAGGACAGCTGAGAAAAGCAGTCAGGTGACCATGTGTCTGGCAAAGTACTAAAGAGCAAAGAGAGAGAACATATATTGAGAGAAAACTGGCAGTGTAGAGAGATCTGGAGAAACAGAAAAATAAAAAAATTATTTTAGGAGGAGTTATACTAGATGCATTTCTCTTATCCATGTTTTCATTCTAGTTTTAAATTATTAATTGCTATGAACAGGTGGTTATAACAGTTTCCAGGCATTTGGCATTTTTGTAAGCATTTTACTTATATTCTTGTTCAGATCTTTATGATCACCCTACAATGTTGCTCCTATCTTTTGGCTAGTTTGAATAATACTGCAGTAAACATGATCACACAAATCTCTCTTTGAGTCTGTTTTCAGGTCTTTTGGGTATTTATCCAGAAGTGGAATTGTAAATTGTGTGGTAATTCTGTGTTCAATATTTTGAGGAACCACTATACCATTTTTAGAGCAACTGCACTATTTTATATTCCCATCAGCAATGCACAAGGGTTTTAGTTTCTCACATTATTGCTAAAACAATCTCTTCCATTTTTAGAATAGTCTCGCAAATGACTGTGAAGTTATAATGGAAAGTTTATGTTATGTGTATTTTACCACAATAACAAAATCCAAAAACTTTTTAAGTATCAGTATTTGGTATAATCTTGTCAATGACAATAAATATGAAATCACTGTTGTCCTTAAGAATGTTACAGTACTACGGGGCTGGCACTGTGGCATAGCAGGTGAAGCCGCCTTCTGCAGTGCCGGCATCCCATAAGGGTTCCAGTTCAAGTCCCGGCTGCTCCACTTCCTTTTTTTTTTTTTTTTTTTTTGACAGGCAGAGTGGACAGAGAGAGAGATAGAGAGAAAGGTCTTCCTTTGCCGTTGGTTCACCCTCCAATGGCCGCCGCAGCCAGCATGCTGTGGCCAGCACACCGCGCTGATCTGAAGCAGGAGCCAGGCACTTCCTCCTGGTCTCCCATGGGGTGCAGGGCCCAAGCACTTGGACCATCCTCCACTGCCTTCCCGGGCCACAGCAGAGAGCTGGCCAGGAAGAGGGGCAACCGGGACAGAATCCAGCGCCCCACCGGGGACTAGAACCCGGTGTGCCGACGCCACAGGCGGAGGATTAGCCTAGTGAGCCACGGCGCCGTCCTGCTCCACTTCTGATCCAGCTCTCTACTGTGGCCTGGGAAAGCAGTGCAAGATGGCCCAAGTCCTGAGGCCTTTGCTCCCACGTGGGAGGCCCAGGGGAGGCGCTTGGCTCCTGGCTTTGGATCGGCACAGCTCCAGCCGTGGCGGCCATCTGGAGAGTGAACCAACGGATGGAAGACTTCTCTCTCGACCTCTCTCTGCCTCTCCTTCTCTCTCTCTGTAACTCTGACTTTCAAGTAAATAAATAAATCTTAAGAAAAAAAAAAAAGAATATAACAGTATTTTAAAGTATAGGACCTCATAACTATCTCGGAAGTAAAGTAATTAAGATAGTCTAAAAATACTCGAGTTTTATGAAACTAAAGGTGTGATAACTTCTTTTTGGTGTTTTGGGTGCCGTTAATAATTACCCTTTTTTTGTTGCTTACCACTAGGAAAACACCGTCATTCTGCAGCAGCTACTCCCACTGCGGGCCCAAGTGGCCAAACTCCTGGGCTATAGCACACATGCTGACTTCGTCCTCGAGATGAACACTGCAAAGAGCACAAGCCGAGTAACAGCCTTTCTAGGTTAGTTCTTTCTTTTTCCTCCTTTTTTTTTTTTTTTTTTGACAGGCAGAGTGGACAGTGAGAGAGAGAGACAGAGAGAAAGATCTTCCTTTGCCGTTGGTTCACCCTCCAATGGCCGCCGCTGCCGGCGCGCTGCGGCCGGCGCACCTCGCTGATCCGATGGCAGGAGCCAGGAGCCAGGTGCTTTTCCTGGTCTCCCATGGAGTGCAAGGCCCAAGCACTTGGGCCATCCTCCACTGCACTCCCGGGCCACAGCAGAGAGCTGGCCTGGAAGAGGGGCAACCGGGACAGAATCCAGCGCCCCAACCGGGACCAGAACCCAGTGTGCCGGCGCCGCTAGGCGGAGGATTAGCCTAGTGAGCCGCGGCGCCGGCCTCTTTTTCCTCCTTTTTTAATGTTTGTTTCTTTTCATCTACTTGGAAGGCAGAGCAGCAGAGAACAAGAGAGAGAGAGAAAGACCTTTTGTAAATATCAGTTGCATGATTTCCACCTTTTTTCCTGACTGTATTGCTGTTATCACATCAGTTTGATAGAGGGCCCCAGAACCGAAAAAACCTGCAAAGAGATACTGTTTTCATTCATTCCAGATCAATTTTTGATCACAATGATGTGTTAAATGGTCTGCTTAGTTCTGTTGTTTATACTGCATTTATGCTCATTATTTATACGGCGTTTGTAGTTTTTGCTTCCTTCTATCCCGTGTCTTGTTTGGGGTTTTTGTACTGATTTCTAACGTGAAATTTAGGATCCTAACAGGTATTATCAGCCTATTGACTTTATTAACTTCCAGTAGGTATTTGGTAGTTATAGCATGGGTACTTATGTATTCTTACAACATAAGCTGACAAAAATGACATAAAGGAAAGCAGCACACATAAAAACAAAAAATTAACATTTTATACTCCAGAAACCACTTGTTAATATATGAAAGTAGTGTAAAATAATATATATCAAGACTGTTAACCAGTAACTATTCATTTTAAATCACTTTTTCATAAATCTTTTAAAACCTTGGTTTTTAGGTCCATGATATTTAGCCACTGATACTCCATCACCCTGTCCCATCCCCCTCTCAGTCCACGTGTCACTATTCCAACTGTCATCTTGTTCTTTCTTTCATCTTAGTGAAAATGGTTGAATAATTTAGCCATGATAAAAATGCTAATTATTATAGTAATCATCTCTGATCAGAGTTAACCAAAGTATGATTTTGTAATTTGCCTTCACAACCCTTTTCTTTTTTTTTTTTTTTTTAAGGTTTATTTATTTATTTGAAAGAGCTACACAGAGAGAGAAGGAGAGGCAGAGAGAGAGAGAGAGAGAGAGAGAGGTCTTCCATCCTCTGGCTCACTCCCCAATTGGCCACAATGGCTGGAGCTGTGCCGAAAGCCAGGAGCTTCCTCCAGGTCCCCATGCGGATGCAGGGGCCCAAGGACTTGGGCCATCATCCAATGCATTTCCAGGCCATTTGCAGGGAGATGGATGGGAAATGGAGCAGCCGGGTCTCGAACCGGTGCCCACGTGGGATGCGGGCACTGCAGGTGGCGGCCCCACCTGCTACACCACAGTGCAGGCCCCTTTACAACCCCTTTCAAACTTTATTCACCTTCAACAGTTTGTCAAGATATATAGTCTATTTTTTTTAAGATTTTATTTATTTACTTGAAAGTCAGAGTTACACAGAGAAAGAAGGAGACGTAAAGAGAGAGAGAGAAAGATAAAGAGATAGAGAGAGGCCCTCCATCTGCTGGTCCATTCCCCCAGTTGGCCGCAACAGCTGGAGCTGTGCCGATCCGAAGCCAGGAGCCAGGAGCTACCTCCAAGTCTCCCACTTGGGTGCAGGGGCCCAAGGACCTGGGCCACCCTCCACTGCTTCCCAGGCCACAGCAGAGAGCTGGATCAGAAGTGGGACAGCCGGGACTCGAACTGGTGCCCATATGGGATGCTGGCACTGTAGGCGGCAGTTTCACCTGCTACGCCACAACACCAGCCCCAATATATAGTCTATTACTTTGACATCCTATTATTGCTTTATTTAAGATGGAAATAATTAATAATGAATTAAAATCAACCTTTAGCCCAAAATGAATTCCACTATGTCCTCAATAGCCACACCTTGAATTGTTACTATATATGCTGGAATCATATATAACATGTAACAGGTGCTCCATAAATGACATTTATTATTATGTAATTTACTTAGTCGTTCATTAGATGTTTATGAACTAACTGTCTGATGTTAGGCAGTTTGTTAAATAATAGGACTTAGGACAAAGATAGGGTTCTTTCTTCAGTGGGTTGTCAGTTGCTGGGAGCAGGTATTGACATATAAGCTGATGCATGTTATACAGTAGGATGGCTCAGGGACTTAACAATCACATAGAAAGTGTTTCCTGCAGTGGTGACTGCGTGTACTGGAGTTTTTCCTTAGCAACTGCCTGATGAACTTAATTCCTTTGGAGCGGTTTTCCCTCCAGTTGGAAATCGGCATATTCCCACACACATTTTTCTCTTGCTCCCCGTATTCACATGCTCTCTTCCAAGCCCAGTGAAAACTGTATTGCACTGTATCCTGCGCGAGCCTCCCCCTTTGTCAGCAGTCGCTGGCCTGCTGCCTCCACCTCACACTATGGGGCTGCTGCCTGAGCTGCCTTGTTCCATACATGGCCAAGCACATTTTTATCTTAACAGAATAGGAAAGACTTTCTGAAAGGTAAATACATAAGACGGTAGCCATTTAACCAAATGCAGTAAAGCAGTCAAAAATTGACCACAGTTTATAAATTGTGGTACCCAGAAGCTTCTCCAGCTAAAAACTAGAACTGCTGTGTCCCCATAAACCTTTCTCATAGAGGCCAGAAACTGAGCAACCTGTGGCTATCAAGGGCGTTGAGCAGTTTCTGGATAATACTGACCTCCGGCTGCATGTGTGTTGTTAGCCTTGACTCTCTAACCTCACTGGAGAACGCTCATGTACAGGAGTGCGGTTTCACTACGGCTTTGTTCCCTGCATCATAACATTCGTGACTCAGAGTGCTGTGAGGTCAACATCCCCCGTGTGGATGCTGAGAGGAAGTTGCAGCCTGGCTGTGGTGACACTAAGAGAAACAACGGGCAAGAAGTGATAAAACAAGTCGCCCTGAGGACGAAAGCAGTTGTCCTGATAGAGCTTGCGTTCCGGTCCTTGACTCTTTCCTCCTTCCTGATTTATCTGTGTTGGGTACCACAAGGGAGGAAGCACCGTGCTGAAACACAGGCAGGATCTAGGAGGGTTCTTGCTCCCAAGAGCAATAGGTCACTCACTTTCCCCGCTTCCTTCACAGACGATTTAAGCCAGAAATTAAAACCGCTGGGTGAGGCAGAACGAGAGTTTATCTTGAGTTTGAAGAAAAAGGAATGCGAAGAGAAAGGTTTTGAGTATGACGGGAAAATCAATGCCTGGGACCTGCATTACTACATGACTCAGACAGAAGAGCTCAAGTACTCCATCGACCAGGAGTTCATCAAGGAGTACTTCCCGATTGAGGTGGTCACCGAGGGCCTGCTGAACATCTACCAGGAGTTGCTGGGACTTTCATTCGAGCAAGTGGCCGACGCTCATGTTTGGAACCCGAGTGTCACACTTTACACTGTGAAGGACAAGGCTACAGGAGAAGTGCTGGGGCAGTTCTACCTGGACCTCTATCCGAGGTATTGAGAATCCCAGTGTTGGAGGGGACCTCAGGGATGCAGCCCCTTCCTAGGTTAAGGCTCATCTCTTCTGTATTTCCTGTCTGTGACTGCTACTATATGGGTTTAAAATGTGGACTCTGAAGACAGAAATTCTGTCTGGTTTCATTACTTACTATGCAAGTCACTTAATTTTCCTGTGCCTTAGTTTCTGGACCTATATTACAGGTCTTGTACAATGGGAACAGTAAATACATGGAAGGGTTGTTGTAACGATTAAGTTGGGTAATTACACATACAACATTTAAAACACTGCCCTGCACACAGCAAGTACTAAATAAATGTCATTTATTGCCATTGTCATCTAGTTTGTGTGCTGCATTTACTTAACTTGATTCCCAAAAATATTTATTATTCAGATCATCTGTCTGCCAATACTCAAGTCTATGGCCACTCCCCTCAGCCTGGCTAGGAAGCAACACAGATATTAGGATTAGCACAACCTTAGTAGTTGGTCAAACTTGAGTTTGAATGCTTAAATGATAGAGCCTCTTTGAAACTGCTTCTTTGTAATTTGAGTCATATGATACCATTACAGGACTGTTTTGTACGTTAAACACTATATATGCAAACTGCCCAGTGCAGGCACCAATCAGCAATAAGACTTAAAAATATTATTGTCGCTCTACCATATGGTAACTATGGATGGACTCCACAGTACTTCAGCAGACACCAAAGAATTTAGATCTTTTTCTCTCTAGTCTGTGTTCTAATAAAAACTAACCAGCTAGGGGTGGCACTGTGGTGTAGTGGGTAAAACCACCGCCTGCAGTGCCAGCATCCCATATGAGACTGGTTTGAGTCCCAGCTGCTCCACTTCTGATCTGCTCTCTGCTATGGCCTGGGAAAGCAGTAGAGGATGGCCCAAGTCTTTGGGCCCCTGCACCCTTGAGGGAGACCTGGATGAGCTCCTGCTCCTGGCTTCAGATCAGCTCAGCTCCGGCCGTTGTGGCCAATTGGGGAGTGAACCAACAGATGAAAGACCTCTCTCTCTCTCTCTCTCTCTCTCTCTCTCTCTCTCTCTCTGCCTCTCTCTGCCTCTCTTTCTCTCTCTCTGTAACTTTGCCTTTCAAATAAATTAATTAAAAAAAAAAAACTAACCAGTTGCAATTACTAATCCATTTCACTAAACAGACCAGAGGAAGTTGTGGGGTCCCCTGAGTCAGTGACACACAGGTTTGTGATCCCTGACTTTGGTTACTAGAAAGGAGACTCAGTGAGTTGTCCAGTTGGTGGACAGAGATGTCTTTGAGCACCAAAGTGATTTATTTCAGTACTTTATGGACATTCTTCACTAATGATATGACCTAAAAATAAACCAAGTCAAATGTACATGTGTCTTTTCCTAATTAAGAAGTGTTAGGAAGCTGGCGCTGTAGCTCAATAGGCTAATCCTCCGCCTGCGGCGCCGGCACCCCGGGTTCTAGTCCCAGTCGGGGCGCCGGATTCTGTCCCAGTTGCCCCTCTTCCAGGCCAGCTCTCTGCTGTGGCCCGGGAGTGCAGTGGAGGATGGCCCAAGTGCTTGGGCCCTGCACCTGCATGGGAGACCAGGAGAAGCACCTGGCTCCTGCCATCGGATCAGTGCGGTGCGCTGACCGTGATGGCCATTGGAGGGTGAACCAACGGCAAAGGAAGACCTTTCTCTGTCTCTCTCTCTCACTGTCCACTCTGCCTGTCAAAAAAAAAAAAAAAAAAAAGAAGAAGAAGAAGTGTTAGGATACAGTTGTCAGGATCTATTTGAAAGGCAGAGTAACAGGGAGGGAGGGAGAGAAAGAGATCTTCCTTTCCCTGGTTCACTCCCCAAATGACTTCAGTGGCCAGAGCCAGACCAGGCTGAAGCCAGGAGAGTGGAACTCCACCCGATATCCCATGTGGGTGCTGGGGCCAAGTACTTGAGCTGTCTTCTGCTGCTTTCCCAGGCGCATTACCAGAGAACTGGATCAGAAGTGGAGTAGACAGAGCTGGAACCAGAGCTCCAACAGGGGATGCTGGCATCACAAACAGTAGCTTAACTCACTGCACCACGATGCCCACCACAAGCTGCATCTTCTATTCTATTTTACTTTTTTTAAAAATATTTATTCATTTATTTGAAAGTCAAAGCTACACAGAGAGAGGAGAGACAGAAAGAGAGAGAAGAGAGGTCTTCCATCTGCTGGTTCACTCCCCAATTGGCTGCAACAGCTGGCCAGAGCTGCGCCGATCAGGAGCCAGGAGCCGCCTCCGGGTTTCTCACGCGGGTGCAGGGTCCCAGGGACTTGGGCCATCTTCTACTGCTTTCCCAGGCCACAGCGGAGAGCCAGATTGGAAGTGGGGTAGCCAGGACATGAACTGGCGCCCATATGGGATGCTGGCACTGCAGGCAGCGGCTTTACCTGCTACGCCACAGTGCAGGCCCCTATTTTACTTTTTTATCGTAATTCTATGTTTAATTTTTTTTTTGAGGAACTGCCATATAGTTTTCCATAGTGACTGTACCATTTTACAGTCATACTAACAGTACACACAGAGTTCCAATTTTACAAATCATACATGTTAATTTCTAATATTTTGTTTATGTGTTTTTAAAGATTTACTTATTTTTTTATTTATTCATTCATTCATTCGAAAGGTAGAGTTACAGAAAGAAAGAGACACAATGGCCAGGGCTGGGCCAGGCTGAAGCCAAGTGCCAGGAGCTTCCCATGTCTGTGGCAGGGTCTCCCAGGTCTCCCATGTGTGTTTCAGGGGCCCAAGCACTTGGCCATCTTCCACGGCTTTTCCAGGCCATTTGCAGGGAGCTGGATGGGAAGTGGAGCAGCCAGGTCTCGAACCGGCACCCATAAGGGATGCTGGCACTGCAGGCTTTACCCACTACACTACAGCACCGGTCTCGGCTCCACTTCCAATCCAGTTCTCTGCTGTGGCCTGGGAAAGCAGTAGAAGATGGCCCAAGTCCTGAGCCCCTGCACCTGTGTGGGAGACCAGAAGCTCCTGGCTCCTGGCTCCTGGCTCCTGGCTTGGGGTCAGCCCAGCTCCGGCTATTGTGGCCATTTGGGGAGTGAACTAGCAAATGGAAAACTTTCTCTCTCTCTCTTGTTTTCACTCTGCCTTTCAAATAAATAACTAAATATTTTTTAAAAATAAGAGTAAAGTAACTTGGACATTGAGCTGTATGCAAAGCGTACATCTACAATTCTTGTATCAAGATTTTTCAACAAAAGAAACCCATTCCCCAAATGGGTGCAATTGCCAAGATTGAGCCAGATGGAAGGCAGAAGCCAGGAGCTTCTGGGTCTCCCATGTGGGTGCAGGGGTCTAAGCAAACCAGTGCCCATATGGGATGCTGATGTTGCAGATAGCAGCTTTACCCACTAAGCTATGACAAGCTACTTTCTAAAAGGTGAATTACATGTTTATAAGTGCTCTCTGGAGCAGGTGTTGTGGCACAGTGGATTAAACTGCCACTTGGGATGTCTGCATCCCATAGCAGAGGGCCTATGGTTAAGTACCTGCTCCACCTCTTCCGTCCAGGTTGGAGCTCCTGGCTCCTGGCTTCTGCCTCTTCCAGCCCTGGCTGTTGTGACCTTTTGGGGAGTGAACCAGCCGATGGAAGAATACCCCCACCCAACCCCTATCACTCTGCCTTTCAAATAAATAAAAATAGATGAATAAACATTGATTTTAAAGTCCAAAAAATGCTTTCTGATAACAGCCCTAGCTTGATAACAGTGTTGTTGCTAGAGAAGAGTTCTCAAGTCTCTCCAATGTGTTTCTGGTTCCTAGGGAAGGAAAATATAATCATGCAGCCTGCTTTGGTCTCCAGCCTGGCTGCCTGCTGCCCGATGGGAGCCGGATGCTGTCTGTGGCTGCCCTCGTGGTGAACTTCTCCCAGCCAGTGGCCGGCCGGCCCTCTCTGCTGAGGCACGATGAAGTGAGGACTTACTTCCATGAGTTTGGTCATGTCATGCATCAGATTTGTGCACAGGTAAGTCTTTTTTTTTTTTTTTTTTTACCATAAATCCATCAATGTTTTTCTTTTTATTGCTGTCAGATTTCTCCCCTTAACATGTTTTTTTACCCCCCAGAAGCTAAACATGTCCAAGAATTTCTTAGGCCTGCAAAAAACGTAAACATTTTCCTTATCATGTCCTATTTCACAGCATATTTTCACTCAAAGACTAACCCACTGATCAAAGAACTTCACTGAATACCAGCTTTTGGGGAAGGAAATAAGGAAGGATTACAAATACTATGCCTTTGCCTTTTAATTCCTTTCTTCTCTGTAAGAATTTGGTGTAAGCTTCACAGTTAAGCTCTGCTATGATCTGTCAATCCTACTTTTTAATACTTTGTTTAGTTCAATTGTTTTCAGTCCAGTAGACTCTTCACTCCTTTTTCTTTTTTTTTTTCTTTTTTCTTTTTTTTTTTAGGATTTATTTACTTGAAAGTCAGAGTTACACAGAGAAAGAAGGAGAGGTAGAGACAGAGAGAGAGGTCTTCCATCAGCTGGATCACTCCCCAGATGGCCACAACGGCCAGAGCTGAGCCCATCCAAAGCCAGGAACCAGGAGCTTCTTCCGGTTCTCTCTTGGGCCATTTTCTACTGCTTTCTTAGGCCATAGCAGAGAGCTGGATCAGAAGTGGAGCAGCTGGGACTTTGAATCAGTGCCCATATGGGATGCCAGCACTGCAGGCAGCAGCTTTACCCATAACACCACAGCACCAGCCCGTACTCCTTTTTCTAAAATATAGTTTGTGGGGCAGACATTTAGTGTAGTGGTTGAAACACCCCTTGGGATAGCCATGTCCCATATTGGAGCGCCTGGGTTCAGTTGCAGGCCCTGCTCCCAGTTCCAGCTTCCTGCTAATGCACACAGTGGAAGGCAACAATTGGAGGCTGAAATATTTGGGGCCCTGCCTCCCACGTGGGAGACTCAAACTGAGTTTCTGGCCTCTGACTTCAGCTTGGCCTAGCCCGAGCTTTTTATGGGCATCTGGGGAGTGAACCAATAGATGGAAGATCTCTCTCTCTCTCCCCCTACCCTTTCATTTAAAAAAATGAAAATAAAACTCACCCTTTCATCAAAAATGAAAATAAAAAATAATATATTTTATAACATTCCTTTCCTAACCTGAAGTTAATACAATAGATTATGTAGCATGGCCAAGCATGCATTTGCCAAGAAGCAGGTGTATAAATGTACAGTAGAGTACATTTTCTTTATTTCTGAAAATGAAAAATACATTTATTTTAACCTTTTTAACACAGTCCATTTAACTAGGCCCAAATTATTCTATCTTGAACTGTATGAACTTGCTAATATTAAACCACTATGAATGTTTGACAATTTCTAGTTCAGCATTTCAACCTGGTGGTTTATTTTTTTAAAACATTTTATTTGTTTGTTTGAGTTAAAGACAATGAGAGGGAGAGACAGAGAGAAAGGTCTTCCAGCTGCTGGTTCACTCCCCAATTGGCCACAATGGCCAGAGCTGAGCTGAGCTGAAGCCAGAAGCTGGGAGCTTCTTCCAGGTCTCCCAGGCAGGCACAGGGACCCAAGCACTTGGGGCATCTTCCACTGCTCTCCCAGGCCACAGCAGAGAGCTGAATTGGAAGAGGAGCAGCCGGGACTAGAACTGGCGCCCACATGGGATGCTGGTGCCGCAGGCGGAGGTTGAACCTGCTGCACCACAGTGCCAGCCCCGACCTAATGGTTTAAAAACACTGATTGATATTAACAGAAATGGAGGTGCAGTTGTCCAAATTTAAAATCTTTCTATGTGTCTTCAAAGGTAAACTTAAGGGAAGAAATAACCTTTTTATTAGGATAGTTTTAAATTTACAGAAAAGTTGAAAAGACTACAAAGACTGGCCACGCCCTCACTCTCTTCTTTCTACTTTTGACATCTTACCGTATCACTGTACGTTTATCACAACTGAAAAGCCAATATTGGCACAGTGCTCCTAATTAAACTTCACTCTTTATGTGGATTTTACCTGCCTTTTCCCTAATGGTGTTCTACCATACAGAGAATCTTTTTAAATCATTAGGATGTCCTCACCAAACTGAAAAGAAAGACATGTTTTGTTTCAAGTGCTGACGCTTGAGCAGGGCCATGCAGTAGGACATCGTGAAGCTCAGAGGGGCTGCACTTTGTGGGACCACGCCTGAGCGGGCGGTGACTGCTGGAGGCTGGTGGGTGCGTCCGTCCAAGGCCGAGAGCAGCATTCCAGTGGTGACATGCTTTTCCAAAATACTGAACCCCTCCTGGGAAACCCCCACTGACTTACACAGTAGATCCTAGTAGTGGTATTCTTGGAAATTAAAATTATATAAAAATGCTTTGTAAGAATATTTAAAATGAGGTAAATGTCTAGGTCACTGAGAGTGTTTTCATTATTTGAGTGTCCAGCAGGGCACATGAGTGATGAGCCGGATAAGGATCTTCGTTGTTGTTGTCTTGACCTCTGCCAGGTCAGCCCTGGCCTCAAATGTCTCAAGAGAGCAGAGTAGCCCCTAATCATTGTCATAATCACAAATACCATCTCCTTTGTTTGCATCTGTTAAGTTATTTGAACATTTTATCTTTCTACCCTGGTAGAAAATGGGAATAGGCTAGGAATCAGTGCAGATAAATAAGTCCTGATACAGTCATTTCCACTCTCTCTCTTTAACGCAAGCAAAAGAAATCTTCCAAAATAATTTAATCTTTCTCCTTCAGATCATTTTTAAGTCTATTATCACAATCATAAGCTTCCTGGCATGTTTTTTATGTGGACCTTCCATTAGTGTCCAGTCTGTGGCTGACATTTTCTTTAATTAGGGTAATTCCAGTTTCCATTTTTGAAAAATATTTTTATGAGCAATTTAGAAAAGTTAATACTTTTCTTAATTTTAGACTTACAGGACATTACTGAGAGTGCCCAATATCCAGTTACTTATTTTTACATAGGTAAAGACCTGGTTTTAGAAAAGTGAACTCTCTCTTTTTTTGGATCTAAGGACCTATGAAAATCTAAGTTTTGGATACCCCCCATTTCAAAACAATGCACATACATTTATACACCCAAAATTATACATGGAATTCCAAAGGGCTCATTGCACCCCTTGAAGCCCAAACTATAATATATCCCAAGATAAGAACTCCTGGAATATAGCAGTTTCTTCCTCATTTGGATCTTTATTAGCATTTGGTGATCTCACGAGGAAGTAATTTGATGTTTTGATCATATTTATTAAAATACTGGTGATCTTCCAATAGGGTTCTCAGTGTTCTTTTTTTAGGCACAGCCCTCTTATAACTTTAATGTCATATGCTTACCTGGTTCTCCGCAACTCTTTGTGTTGCTCTCATTATTTCTTAAATGATTTTTTGAATCTTTCAGTTAGCTACTTTAGTACTGGAAAATACTTTCTTGGTCCTGTGACATTTTAGAGCTGTTTGACTCATGACTGAACTCTAAATATAGTGCACTCATCAGTTTGATGTCTCCCTCTTGAAACAGTAGGCTATATTCAATTCTTAATGTTTTGCCTAACCTCATTCGTGAGCACAAAATGTGTCATTCTGATGAACAGTGTGTTCATACAATCCTTTGCTTGGTCATGTTCTCTTGAGATTATCTTTCAAAAATCTTTGTGTGTATTAATCCTTTCAAGATGTCCTGTCATATTTCAAGAGCATTGAAGGTATTGTATTTATAACCAGTGATCACCACTTTTGTGTTCAGGAAGCAAAGATCCATATATTTGCAGCTTTATAATAATTCCAAATCCTTTTGTACTGACCTGAAATGATTGGAAGTTAACAAAGAGATTCATAACTTCTGTGATCAGTACTACTTCTGCCTTATCCAAGAAATACATTGTGGATAAAATAATTGCCATACATACTCACTTGGTGCTTTTAAGATTCTGCAGCTCAGTGTTTGAGTCTCCACTGTGGCAGTCTGCAGGTTTGATGACCACTAGGGCTCGCTTGAGCTTGTCATAGTCATATTTAAATGTGTCAGCAGGACCATCCAGTTTTCAAACAGGTAGGTGCACTGGTTCAGTGTGTCTGCTATCAACATGTCTATCTGATCATGCAGGAGGTGAGTTTCACTCTTATTTTCTCGTGTTTACAATATAGGGTAGGTAATTTTGAAGATAGGAATCAAGAGGTAGTATCTGCAGTATCTGTTCCTCTTTCATGGTTTGATTGTGGTTTGGGCTGTCCATAATCACTGGCCTTTTGAACTTCTATAGAATAGAAGAGTAATGCCTCTTAACAGCCTCCATTGTGATGTCTTTGTGGGGTTGTGCATTAGAAGCACTAGTAAGTTTTGAAGTTTAAAGAGATCATTATTTTAAGGGAGCACATCAGAACCACAACAAAGCCTTCTTAATAATACTGCAAGGGATAGACAAACAGGAAAAATAGGTGACTTCAAATAATCTGTTAATTTAGTCAGAAGAATAATAAAGCATCTTGTCTGCTCTATGTATTAGAATGAGATACCACTGTAAACAAATATGCCCTGTAACAGGCAGTTACCATGGAGTTATGACCAGAGCACAGGACTAAAAATCATCTGTGTGTTTGTGGGTTTGGCTGTGTGGCCTTTGGAAAGTTCTTACCTGTAGTGTTGTAGAAATTAAATATGTGAAAAGACACCTGGGCGATCAAAGTGCCACACGTATCTGTATCTGAAGTACTCTTATCACCAAGATTATGTATTGTTCAGCATTTTGAGATCAATAAGTAGTACACAGCTCAGAGCTGAAAAGGAAATCAGAAGGCGTGTTGAAACAGTTACCATTGCTTCAGGGTCAGGAGAATCCGCCAATGACTTTCAAATGAATGTCCATGGGAAGTGATGGGAAACCATCAGATTTGTATTTATTTTTCTGCTTTGTTTTGTTGATTGCTGCCTACTTAGCAATTTGATTTTTGAAGCAAGAACAGAATGAGCAGCTTAGAGTATTGGGAGAGTAGAGGATT